CTCAGCCTCCTGAGTAGCTGGCATTACAGGCACGCACCACCATGCCCAGCTAATTTTTTGTATTTTTAGTAGAGACGGGGTTTCACCATGTTGACCAGGATGGTCTCGATCTCCTGACCTCGTGATCCACCTGCCTCGGCCTCCCAAAGTGCTGGGATTACAGGCTTGAGCCACCGCGCCCGGCGCACAGATTTTTTTGAATTGGCTTTTAAATATTCAAAATATTACTTTTTATTCTAAACAAGAACTTAAAATTTTAAGTGTATTACTATGTGACTTGTAATAGTAGCTATACTTCCAAATGAGAATCTGTTACTTACAGCTCAGCAAAATTCTTCCAGTCATCTTCACTAATGGATGGTCTTGTGTGACCAAGTGCAGTCATTAAATGTGACTGATTAATAGCCAGTCTGGTTTTGATTGTTCCTGGTTGGTTAATGGATTCATCCTCCTTAAGTAATAAAAGAAATTGACAAAGAGTTAACTTAGGGATGTAAAGAAAAATTTGATAGTCCAATTAATTATTTTTGTCAGTTTTTTCAAGAGATTATACAGCCAGTGCTCGACTTAGGACCACGATTGGGACCGGCAGACCGGTCGTAACATGTTTGGTCGTAAGTTGAGTAGGCTATATGTACAGTTGAAATGGTGCACGCGGAGATGGTAGTGCTGCCGGAAGCTGGTCCGCACTGTTGTACGTCCAGCTGGGCAACGTTTGCGCTGCCAGACACGGAGCAGTCGTGGCTAGCGATTGTGGTCGTAAAGTTGAATGGTCGTAAGTTGCATAGGTCGTAAGTCGATCAATACCTGTATTCTCTTCCTGATAACAAAACATTGAAAGCAAGAAAGTACATAATCATTTGAGCTATTGTGTTCTGGTCAAATCAAAGAAATACTACCAAAAAAGAGAGAAACAATTTTTAAGAAGTTTTAAAAATTATAACGAGGAGGAAAAAAGTCATACTCCACTTTGGCTCCGGTATCTGCCTTTGATAATACTGATATCTGCCCTCAGTTGATCTCTCTGTTCTTGTGTAAGTTCTTGGCAACCCTCTTGTGAAGCTGTCCTTAACATTGGAGGCTGTGAAAACAACTGGTCTTTCCCAGGAACTCCAGGCAAATCCTGAGTCGTGGAGCTTGGTGCAGAGAGACACTGTGAGCTCTGCATGGTAAATTTCAGTAATGAAAGATGGAAGGAAGTAGGGGAGAGAAAAAACTATGTTTACCAAAGATAAAAATTAAACATTTTAAGCAATAAAACATTAACACAGATAAGTATACATGTTAACTGAAGTGAAGCAAGTTGAAAAGTTGTTCATATTCTATAAAGGTTCACTGATATCTATGATATATAACCACCATAGAGTGAAAACTGCCATAACACAAGGTAGGTTTTTTTTTTTTTTTAATGCTTTGTTGCTTAAATCCAACACACTAATGCCCAAGGACAGGTTTCTTCGTTTTCAGAAAACAAATTTTCAGAAAACAAAGCTTCTGGGACATTTCTAGATAGAATAAACAAAATTAAAGACTAAAACACTACCTTACTATTTTTGGGAATAAAAATGGGTTGTTTTTATATGTTTAAAGTCTTAGGCTGGGCATGGTGGGTCACACCTGTAATCCTAGCACTTTGGGAGGTCAAGGCAGGCAAACTGCTTGAGCCCATGAGTTTGAGACCAGCCTGGGCAACATGGTAAAACCTCGCCTCTACAAAAAATACAAAAATTACCTGGGCATGGTGGCATGTGCCTGTAGTCCCAGCTACTCAGGAGGCTGAGGTGGGAGGATCACCTAAGAGCACGAGGTCAAGGCTGCAGTGAGCCATAATTGTGCCACTGCACACTAGTTTGGGTGACAGTGAGATTCTGTCTCCCAAAAAAAAAAAAAAAAGCCTGAATAAAGCAAATATACAAAAAACACAGGAAACATAACCAAATATATGTACAAATCTTACATGTACCAATAAAATTACAGTGAACCACTATCAGTTTTGAGATGTTGAATGCTAGTAGAATAACAGTGATACTGCCCACATTTAATCAAAACGCTTTCCTGTTGAAACATTATTAGTACACTTCACCGTGCTTATACTTTGCAGCAAAAGTATCGTAGATAACATTTGTTTTCAGGAATTTTTGACATTATTGTATCAAATTACTCATTATCCTCAACTGTTTGTGATAATAGAATTTTAAGTTTACTATAAAATGGAACTCCTAAAGACGTTTTAAAACCACTAGGTAAGAGAGATGAACCTGAGGGCCGGGTGCGGTGGCTCATGCCTGCAATTCTAGCACTTTGGGAGGCTGAGGTGGGTGGATCACATGGTCATGAGATTGAGACCATCCTGGCCAGCATGGTGAAACCCCGTCTCTACTAAAAACACAAAAATTAGCTGGGTATGGTGGCACATATCTGTAATCCCAGCTACTTGGGAGGCTAAGGGTGAGGCAGGAGAATCCTTTAAACCCAGGAGATGGAATTCGCAGTGAGCTGAGATCGTGCCACTGCACTCCAGCCTCCAGACAGAGCAAGTCTTCATCTTAAAAAAAAAAAAAAAAAAAAAAAAAAATCTTTGTGTGGTGGCTCATGCCTGCAATCGCATCACTTTGGGAGGCCAAGGCAAGCAGATCATGAGGTCAGGAGTTTAAGACCAGCCTGACCAACATGGTGAAACCCCTTCTCTACTAAAAAAAAAAATACAAAAATTAGCCAGGTGTGGTGGTGTGCACCTATAATCCCATAATCCCAGCTACTGAAGAGGCTGAGGCAGGAGAACCGCTTGAACCTGGGAGGTGGAGGCTGCAGTGAGCCATGGTTGTACCACTGCACTCTAGCTTGGGTGAAAGAGTAAGACTCCATCTCAAAAAAAAAAAAAAAAGATAAACCTGAAAGAAACCAAAGGTAATCACAACCATGTGCTACTTTGGTTCCTTGCTTCCAGCTCTGTCTTAAAAATCTTAACAAGGAATGAAAATTTACGCCGGGCGCAGTGGCTCATGCCTGTAATCCCAGCACTTTGGGAGGCTGAGGTGGGTGGATCATCGGAGGTCAGGAGTTTGAGACCAGCCTGATCAATATGGTGAAACCCCATCTTAAAAAAGAAAAAAAAAAAAAAAAATTACCAATTAGTGTAAGTAAGAAAACAAGACTATCTTACTGAGGAGCCAACCAGCCAGGAAGAATATGAGGGGCTGGTTAAGACAGAAATCACCCCAACTTTACAACATACAGCTTTATATTTCAGAACTATATAATGATGCCTGCACAAGATACCAAATCAGAAGAGGTTCCATTTCCAAGTTCTGATTCATAAGAGCTTCCAAAGTAGAGCCGGTACATATTGAATTTTGATTCATCTGGAAGGATCTCGGACATCTCTAAAGAAACAAGAGATTGATCTAAGCCACATTCTCCATCTCCAGCTGAATCGTCAGAGCCACTGCTATGGTTAAGAAAGACCATTGAAGACAGACTTAGGTCACTATCAGAGCTGGAACTTCCATCCTAAAATACACAAAAGGACAACCAGTTTAAAGATGTAAACAATTTTAGTCTCAAAAATAACAACATAGATAGCATTCTAATAGAGCAATACAAGAAACCTGAAGCATTTTTTCAAAAAGCTCATTAATTCTCTAATGGTTTTGAGGCACATGGTAAAAATTTAACTATTAAAATGTAAAGACAAGACAGAATTTGTAGATAATTTACCACCATTCCCACCCCCACCCCCAGCCCCAGCCAGAAAGTCTGTAATGAAGCTAACACTCAGACCTCTCGGTTTTATTTTTATGTCTGACTTTCCATTCATACTTTTCCACTCCAAAATGATGAATGAACCATGTTATAGAGTGCTTTCTCATTATAGCAAGCTCTACAAATATACACCTTTCTTTGTAGTAAAGGGAGGGAGGAGAACTTCAATGGCTTGCCAAAATAAATAACAAAAATTCGGGGAGTATCTGATTTAGAAACTGTAGGCTCTGTAGACATTCCAACAAAATGTGGTAAAGAAGGGTACACAGAATAATTCTTCCTAGAAAATATATGGTAAAGTCTATAATAGTTCAAATTATCTACTGTAAATAATAAAATCATAATACTATCTTTAGAGGAAAGGCTGATGCTAGGGTTGGGATACAAAAAGAATAAGATAAACAATATATTTCTTGTTTTTGAGACAGGGTCTCTCTCTGTCACTCAGGCTGGAGTGCAATGGCACAATCATGGCTCACTGCATCCTGGACTTCCGTGGCTCAAGTGATCCTCCTGCCTCAGCTTCTCCCAAGTACCTAGGACTACAGGTATGTGCCAACATGCCCAGCTAATTTTTAATTTTTTTGTAGAGACAAGATCCCACTCTGTCGCCCATAGTGGGTATAGTTTTGGTCTCAAAGTAGGCTCAAGCAATCCTCCTGCCTTGGCCTGCCAAAGTGCTGGGATTACGGGCGTGAGCCACCACACCTGGCCAAGAATATCTTGTATTTAGAAGGAAGTGATCCAAGAATGATGAGGACATGTCATAAGGATACAGGAGCCATACAAAAAGGGCTTCTATTGGCCAGACTGGGACAATTTGAGCTTCAAAATAACAACTTTAACTGATTTTTAAAAAAAATTAAAGTATAAACTAAAAGCTAATTATTTTTCTGTTTGTAGTGAAGCCTACATGGTATCCCAATTCATGATATCACGATTTAAATAATATCCTTGTAAACACCACAATGTTTTTGCAAATTATTAACGTAATGTTAAACAGACACCAAACTCTTCATAATTATAATTCTCTGCAAAACCCATATTCCAACTATGGAACACTCAACTAAAGGTAAATTTAAATATCTATACAGTTTTACCAAAGTTGTTTAAAAAATAGCATTTTGCTGAGGAGTTTGAGGTTACAGGAAGAAAGAGAGGAAAGATACAAAAAAGAAAAAAGATAGCATTTTTTTAAGGTTGAAATTTTGACACTGTACTTCTCTTATCAATCATAAAATGTCCTAACAGCTTCCTCATATAACTTACCTGGAGTCCACTCGAGAGCAGCCTTCCATGTAAGGCCTCCAACTGGGCATTGTAAAGTAAAGCTTTCAAATCCGCTCCAGTAAAGGAGTCGGTTACTGATGCTATATGCTGAAAGTCAACATCATCTGCCAGAGGTAGAGAGTCACTGAGAACACTTAAAATTTCAAGACGTGATACCTGAAGAGAGAAAAATTTAACAAACAATTAAAAATAAATTGTGTATCTCATGATTTTCTTCATAAATTAACCTTATACATCTAATAAGTTTTATAAGTAAGTCGAGAAATGTACCAACAGCCTACTATTTATCTTCCTTGGAACTTTTTCCCTGACAGAAATAATATAGGTAGGAAAATGAATGAAAATCAACATTTTTTTTTTTTTTTTTTTTGAGATGAAGTTTCGCGCTTGTTACCCAGGCTGGAGTGCAATGGCGCGATCTCGGCTCACCGCAACCTCCGCCTCCTGGGTTCAGGCAATTCTCCTGCCTCAGCCTCCTGAGTAGCTGGGATTACAGGCACACACCAACATGCTCAGCTAATTTTTTGTATTTTTAGTAGAGACGGGGTTTCACCATGTTGACCAGGATAGTCTCGATCTCTTGACCTGGTGATCCACCCACCTCGGCCTCCCAAAGTGCTGGGATTACAGGCTTGAGCCACCGCGCCCGGCGAAAATCAACATTCTTAAGGCTGGAAATGGTGGCTGACGCCTGACCCCTGTAATCCCAACACTTTGGGAGGCTGAGCCAGGAGGATCACATGAACCCAGGAATTCAAGGACAGCCTGGGCAACACAGGAGACCCTATGTCTACAAAATAATTAAAAATAAAGTTAGCTGGGCATGGTAGTGTGTGCATGTGGTCCCAGCTACTCAGGAGGCTAAAGTGGGAATACTGGTTCAGCCTGGGACGTAGAGGCTGCAATGAGTTGTTATTGCATCACTGTACTCCAGCCTGGGTGATAAGTGAGATCTTGTCTCAAAAACAAACAAAAAAAAAAAACTGACAAAATATTCAGTGTAAATAATTTCTTATTCACAGTGCTTATTTTCTAGATTTGGGCAAGTATGCCAAGAAGGTATTTCAAAAGGAAAATTTAAATAGCTATAGTAACTTATATTCAGATACATACTTTTAACTATTCATTTGTCCATTTCTAAATTGGAGAACAAGAATTGGAACAACACAGGACTAGGAAGAACTGAAAAACTCTTGTCTCTATGAAACCTGCTTACATGCTTACGATTCACATGCCTGAGTCTGTATCAGTTTTTTTTGACAGGATAATGAACTATGTGATCTTTGAACACAAGAGAATGTGAAAATACAGTACTTTAGGTTTCCTACATTTTTTTTCTCCCAATCAGCCAACAAGGAAGGATTACAGTTTTCAGACTTGCATGGAAATGGCTGGGTCAAAGAAAGGCTTTGCATCTAATTCAGAATCTTTTTTATGCTTTGAGCAAACAGTGGCTAAGGCCTTTGCCTAAGAAAGCAGGTCTTCTAAGGACAATTGCCATTACCTGGCAGAAGTAAAGCTCACAAGGATAGAGTGTAGCATTTGTTGGGTTTTGGACTCTAATATGAAATTGTCACCTGATCAGGAGGAGGACAGTATACACATTTATCTAGTCGACCAGGCCTAAGCAGGGCAGGGTCAATCAAGTCAGGGCGACTAGTAGCAGCCAATACATAAACACCTAAAAGAAAAAACATTTTTTTACTAAAATCTGATGACATGATGACATTTTGTCAAAACATTATATTTCTGTATTTATAATTATTACCCTGTAAGCCTTCTACTCCATCCAACTGAGTCAGCAACTGGTTAACCACTCTGTCTGTAACTCCTGTATTATCATGACCCCTTCGAGGAGCAATGGATTCAAATTCATCAAAGAAAAGAATGCAGGGCTTTGCAGCCTGTGCTCTGGGAAAAATAACATTTCATATTTGAATCGGGCTTCATGGTTTGCAAAGTGATTTGATACATATATATGAACATATTTATTTTATGTATTTATATATATTTATGTACTTGTTTTAATTTTTACAACAAACCCTTAAAGACAAGGTATATGTAACTACATATAAATATATATAAATGTATGTATATATATTTACGTATTTATTTTAATTTTCACAACAAACCCTTAAGGCAAGGTATGTGTAATTACCCTCATATTCAGTAAACTGCTGAGGTCAAGGTGTTTATTAAGACCCATGCCTTCTGGATAGACTAACAGGCATGGATAGACTTCTGAGTCTTAGTCAATAAGTCAAACACTTCTTTGATTCCTATTACAAGTAACCATTTTTATATTAATATATACTTATTAGCCACCCTTACTTTTGTGAAATGCCTATTCATTTCTTTTGCCCATTCAAAATTTGGCAAGCTCATGTTGGTACTGTTATTTTTTTTTTGAGATGGGGTCTCGCTCTGTTGCCAGGCTGGAGTGCAGTGGCACTATCCCGGCTCACTGCAACCTCTGCCTCCTGGGTTTAAGCAATTCCCTTGGCTCAGTCTCCTGAGTAGCTGGGACTCAGGCATGTGCCACCACGCTCGGCTAGTTTTTTATATTTTAGTAGAGGCGGGGTTTCACCATGTTGGCCAGGATGGTCTCCATCTCTTGACCTTGTGATCTACCCGCCTTGGCCTCGCAAAGTGCTGGGATTACAAGCGTGAGCCACCGCGCCTGGCTGGTGGTACTGCTTTGTAAGGGCTCTCTATAAAATAAATTTTATTTCCCTTTTTTAATAATTTGAACTTTGACTTTGTTTTATTAATTTATTCACAATTCAAAAGAAGTGAACAGCCGATTGCGGTGGCGTGTGCCTGTAGTCCCAGCTACTTGGGAGGCTGAGGTGGGAGGACTGCTTGAACTCAGGAGTTCTGGGCTGTAGTGTGCTATGCCAATCGGGTGTCTGCACTAAGTTCTGCATCAATTTGGTGACCTCCCGGGAGTGGGGGACCACCAGGTTGCCTAAGGAGGGGTTAACCAGCCCAGGTTGGAAACGGAGCAGGTCAAAACTCCCGTGCTGATCAGTAGTGGGATCACGCCTGTGAATAGCCACTGCACTCCAGCCTGGGCAACATAGCAGACCTCATCTCTCAAAAAAAAGAAAAAAAAGTAGTAAATATTCCATCTCTGGCAACAGGTGGATGAGATGTCTGGAAAATAAGCCTTAACATAAAACATCTGTCATAGTGATTAAAAAACACCAACAGCTATCATTAAATGCATGGCAAGTAAAAAGGTATCTTCTGGGGCCAAAAATAGACCAAAGTTATCTGCTCCTTAAATGTTTGGCAAAACTCTCCTAGAAAACCGAGTCTGATGTTTGATTTGGGTAAAGATTTTTTAACTTTTCTAACTCAATTTTTTTTTTTTACTAATTTATAGGACTACTCAGATTTTGTTTCTTTGCTCAATTTTGGTCTATGTCACCTAAGTTTTCAAATGTATAGGCATAAATATTTTCATATTTCCTTATTATCTTTACATTTCTGGGATATCTTTAGTTATGTTTCCCTTTTTATCCCTAAAATTATTCATGCTTTTTTTTTTTTTTTCCTTAAACCTGCTAGAGATTGGTCAGTTGTACTCAGTTTTCAAAAATAAATTTTGGCTTTGTGAACTTGTTGAATTGTTTTGTGTTTTATTAAACTTCATTCTTTATTTCCCTTTTAATCTAGTTTATATCTAATCTTCCTAATTTCATGAGACACATACATAAGTGGTTAACTTTCAACCTTTTTTTCTTTCTAAACATTTATGGCTATAAATTTTCCTTGAAGTCAGTTTTACAACATCTCACAATTTTAATGGATAGTATTTTCATTATCATTTGCTGCCAAATATATTCCATTATATTCTCTTTAACCCATGAATTATGTAGAAGAGGTTTGTTTATGTTCTTTCCAGGTAAACTGGGTAGTGAATACATTAAGTATTCATTTTATTATTCTTCCTTAAGCTGCATAAGTATTTTATATACATTCTCTTAACTGTTACTTAACTCTATGTTTAGAATAAAACAACTTCTAAAACTCCCCATAATTCTATCACATTTGAATAATTTCATCCTTAAATACTATCTTCTGTATTCATATACAGTTTCTTAATATATGCAAAATAGTTATACTCACTGAAATTGGCCAGATGGAATCTTGATTTAATAATTTATAATTTAGAACTTATAAAATTTAGAGATAAATTAGGGGCAACTATTTGCTTCATATAAGAATCTACTCTGAGAATTCTTTGAATAAGCACTTATGATTCCACTTTGAGGAGTATTTCTATTGTAAATACAAAACCAAATAATTTCCAAAATTTAATATCTAAAATGTCTTTAAGTAGTATTTGGTGAAATAGAGAATCCATGTCCTCTAGCTTAATAATTCACATAAACCACAGGTTACAAATACCAGTTCTTCAAAAAAACAAGACCAAAAAAAACCATTGATTGATAAATAACAGAGTCAGTTACTTTAAAAACATTCACAGGGAACCAACCTAATAAAAATATCCCGGACAGCTTGTTCACTTGCTCCAATATATTTGCTGAGTAGCTCTGGCCCCTATTGGGTAAAACAGAGTTGAGATAAAAATTATTTAAAAAGAAAATATAAATTTGGTTTCTAAGTCTAAATGAATCATGGAAATTTTTAATATGATTAAATGGATGTCTTGTGCATTTAAAAAAATGTGTGCTAGAATAAATATCATACCACATGTTCTACGCCTGGTCTTTCTTCTGCCTGGAACATTTTTCCCCAGATATTCTCATGGCTTGTTGCTTCCTTTTATTTAGATCTCTGTCCAAATGCCACCTCTTCAGAAACCCTTTCCTGACAAGTCCATCTGTGACTCACTCCAGTTACTCTAAGCCTCCTTACCCTGCTTTTCTTCCTACATAAGACTTACCACCACCATCTGACAGTGGATTCTATACTGAATGTGTCTATCTGCTTATTGTCCCTCTTCACTAGTAAAATGTAAACTCCAAAAAGGCAGTTTTGTTCACTGCTGAATTCCTGGTGCCAAAAACAGTATCTGCCACGTAAGTATTGGATAATCATTTTTCAAGTGAATAAGTGAATGGTTTAAGAAGGGACAAAGTCCCATCTATCTCAAATTAAAAAAAAATGTGTAGAGATATTACATTATCAGCATATTCAATTACTGAAACAATTTGCACAGGAGTTAAAGAATGTATCATTTTTAGAACATGTGGGAAAAGGTCAAGAAAAAAGAATATATAGGCTTCCTTTAAAGGCCAACTGAAAAAACTTTCAAAATAAACTTTCCTGCATATAGCAAAATCAATAATGAGAATAGTCTTTCCTTAAATTGGGATCTTAAAAAAAAAAAAAGACTGAATAGGTCCTAAAGTGATCTCTAGTAAAAAATCACTGTCTCCAAAAGACCAACTACTGATCAGGATATGTGACCAAAATTTCTAATATTCAGCCACATATATATCTGTTAACATAATATTTAATTACATTTCCTCAATATAGTCAGAACTATAGGACTAGAAGAGGAAACATGAAATAACTAAGGCAAGGCTGGGCATGGTGGCTTACTCTGTAATCCCGGCACTTTGCGAGGCCGTGGCAGGTGCATCATGATGTCAGGAACTTGAGACCAGCCTGGCCAACATGGTGAAACCCCATCTCTACTAAAAATACAAAAATTCAACAGGGTGTGGTGGCAGGCGCCTATAACCCCAGCTACTCAGGAGGCTGAGGCAGGAATCGCTTGAACCCAGGAGGCGGAGGTTGCAATGAGCCGAGATCGCACCACTGCACTCCAGCCTGGGTAACAGAGCAATATTTGGTCTCAGGGAAAAAGAAAAGAAATAACTAAGGCAAAATAACAGGAATAAGACAACATCCTGTTACTTTTAGTGTTTCTCCATCATTGCCAGTGCACCCAGGTATCCAGTTCACACACACACTAACATGATAAAAGAATAACTTACAACTGGGCAAAACCCAGTTATACATTACTAAACTGAACTGGGTGTGGTAGCTAATGCCTGTAATCCCAGCACTCTGGGAGGCCGAGGTGGGCAGATCAGTTGAGGTCAGGAGTTCAAAACCAGCCTGGCCAATACGGTGAAACCCCATCTCTACTAAAAATGCAAAAATTAGCCTTGCCTGTAATCCCAGCTACTCAAGAGGCTGAGGCAAAAGAACGGCTTCAAGCCAGGAGGCAGAGGTTGCACTGGGCCAAGATTGCACCACTGCACGCCAGCGTGACCAACAGAGTGAGACTCCATCTCAAAAAAAATAAAGTGTAAATAAATTACTAAACTGTTTTATAAATCAAGTTTGAATAAGGCTAGAATAATACATCATTCCTCTGTCTTAGAATCTGAGTGCCCTTTGATAAACTAATATTGCTGATGTGCTAAAACTGTACAGCTATTAGATCTGCGACCACAATGACACATGAGTGGTGGGCTGTGAGGCATTACCCAAAATGATCTGCTAGCATGCCCCTTAATTATCAAACTCACTTTTTGCCTGAAAAATCTTAGACCTAGTCTCACTTTGACACAAGCAAGGGTGAGATATAGTCAACAAGCAACAGAGCCAGAAAAACCCCAGCTTCCTGCCTCAGTATGGTCTCCAGCCTCTAGTTGTCTACTCCTTTTAAGTATAGTTTGCCTTTTATCTGAGTATTTATGTGTAATTCTTTTCACAGTGCATGAAGATTTGCCTTAAGCAAGAACATAAGCCCTACAAGAGAGGTGGCTCATTACTCAATTTCACACAACTTTTAATAGATGGATCACTGCTCCTACCAGCTTTCCAAATGTGAGACTAGCCCACAATCGAGAAACATAATGGTGTTGGTAAAGATGTGAAGAATCAGGAACCCCCCCACATTGCTGGTGGGAATGATGTAGTTGCTATGAAAGACAGTTTGGTGGTTCTTTGAAAAGTTAGAGAATTACCCTCAGACCCAACGATTCTCCTCACTTTATACCCAAGAAATGAAAACATGTCCGTGGAGAAATTTGTACATGAATGTTTACAGCAACATTATTCATAATAGTCAAAAGATAGAAACAATTGAAATGTTCAGCACTGATACATGGATAAACAAAGTATGGCATATGTATACAATGGAACATTATTCAGTCGTGAAAAGGAATGAAGTACTGATACACACTACTTGGATGAACCATGAACACATTACATAAGTGAAAGAAGCCAGATACAAAAGGTCACATATTGCATGATTCCTTTATATGAAATATAAAGAACAGGCAAATTCCTAGACACAAAGAGCAAATTAATGGTTACCAGGGAATGAGAAGAAGAGTGAATGGAATGAAAAAGTTTTGAAATTAGAGAGAGGTGGTGGTTGCATAGCATTGTGAATGCACTAAATGCCAGTTAATTGTATAAAATGGCTAATTGCATGTTATGTAAATTTTACCTCAATAAAAAAAAAAATGATAAATGGACAACATACCTTGATGCTTATAAAATTCATTCTACTCTCTTGTGCAATTACCCCAGCTAGTAAGGTTTTTCCTGTTCCAGGAGGACCATACAGCAGTATTCCTGTTCTTTGTCGTATGGGCAAGTTTGCAAATAATTCTGGATACTGAGAAATAAATATATGAAAAAGAGCTCAAGTCTAAACAGAAATGACTAGCACCCAAGGATCAATGTATAGAAAAAAAATTCAGATGGTAATCACCACCACCTTTCTTTAGTAACAGCAAGTACAACAGTAGAAAATAAAATTTCTACTAAAATTTATAAATGAACTCAAAGGAACTACTAAAATTTTTCCCAATTAAGAACACATTCTATATAAAATGCATATAACTGCATCAGAACTTCTATTTTTCCTGTTTTATTAAAAGTACTACATTTAAAGAGTAAAAACCAATGTTTTAATAAGCATATGCCTTTCATGCATATGCTTCATGGGGCAAGTTATGAGAGCAGAGTACATTCAAATATATTCAATCAAAGATAGTAAAATCTCCCAAGAGTATCCAGGCTGAACAAATGATCAACTGCTTCTCAAATTACCTTCTAAATCACCACTGCTCAAAATACAACAGAACTTTTGAACAGGCGAGCCAAACATGAGGCTACTGTCAGCTACATCCTGGTCTCCTTTATTAGGTTTGCCTATTTAGTTCCTTCTATAGACCATATTCCCATTCACTTCTACCTCTACTCTAATCTAAGAAGCCCAAAGTCAGCAGTTAACACATATAGTCTCCACGTATTGTATCTGGATGTTCTGAATCTCCATGTACTAATGCTCAACGCTCCCGCCCCAGCATCAGGGTCATGATCCTGCTAGCTAGTACTTCCACGCCTATGTTCTCTCACACAGGTTTTAATAGTCCTGGGTTGCAATCAACATGTCCCAGGCCCCAGTGGCCACTGTTCCCAGGAGTTAATTGCCATGCAGTTACATGTAACCCAGGGTCCTTACCCATTTTATTTTTAATCCCTTTGCATGAGTCCTTGATCTCATGCAACAATCTTTGCCCCTCAGATCTCTGATTAAAACATACTACCTCCTAGACTCTACCATCTGATCTTCTAAAGAACAATCTATATTTGCCTCCTTTATCTTGCCATCAGCCTCATCTATGCTGCCTGCCAACCCTGCTTTTCAAGGACTGACATTCCAGGTCTGAAAATCTAGCTTCACCCATCAGTCCTGTGAACCTTGATAACTCTTCCACCTCCTACTTTATTCCTATCTGTTTCTACTCAAATCCCAGCAGATAGTTCATCTTGCTTTACTAAAATTTGAATGATTAAAGCAAAAAGAATTATACATCAAAATGTATTTACTGTAACTATCACCTCAGCTTTCTATTATAAATTTCTTATGGCCAAAGACTGTATCATACACTTTAAAATCTGTCAGCCTGGGCAACATAGCAAGACTCTGTCTCTACAAAAAATTAAAGAGTTAACTGGGCATGGTGGTTCATCCCTGTAGTTCTAGCTACTGTGGAGGCTGAGGCAGGAGGATTGCTTGAGACCAGGAGTTCGAGGTTGCAGCGAGGTGTGAGTGTGCCACTACACTCCAGCCTAGATGACAAGAGTGAGGTCTCAACTCTAATACAAAATTAATTATAAAAATGTGTAAAGTGACCTAAAATAGTGCTAGACATTTATTTGGTAATTCACTAAACACTTGTTGACTCACATGGAGATTGGGCAAGCTAACACATAAAGCCAAAGCCAATAATACAGTGGTTCTTCACGTTTTTTTTTTTTTTTTTTTAAACATACCTTGGCAGGTAACTGGATAGTATCCATGAGTATCTGCCTAACTTCATGTAATCCACCAACCTTGTCCCAACCCAGGTCTCTGGGTTTATGCAGGTTGACACTTCGCAAGGACACAGGAATAAATCCTTGGAGAGCCTTTTGGAAGTCCAATGTTGTTAAAACTAACTCTGTTTAAAAATAAACAAAATTTCTTTTAGTAGTTATATTTCACTATACAAATTTTCAAAATATGCCATCATCTTAGCTGGATATGCTAAATTTCTACCCAAATAACTGCTTATTCAAATACTACAATGGAATATATTTAATTCTTGTCTTACTACAATTCCATTTCTCCACAAGAGAAAGAAGATTGCAAGTTCAGGTTTTAACAGTAAAACATACCTTCCCTGGTGGATACAGTCTGATGAGAGAGTCGAGAATGTATGGCTCGATCCACAAGTACTGTAAAATCCCTAGCCACAAACCCTCCAGTTTCTTTAGCTACATGCTGCAGGTCAAGATCGGTGAACTTGTTTATATCACAGTCCAGTTTATTTTTTATTACATTATGCAGAATTTCACATCTTTGTTCCTAAAGAAGAAACACAAAATTCAAATTTCCAATTTTATTCAGTTGTATATTTTAGAATGTATATTTGGAGAAAATCCGGTTGAAAAATCTATAGTGACAGAAAGCAAACTGGTGGTTGAATGGGGATAGAGCAAGCAAGGGAGGGATGGGCTAGGAGACTTCTGGGAGTGATGAAAATGTTTGTTTCCTTAATTGTGGTAATGGTTTCATGGCATCTACATATGTTAATACTGATCAAATTGTACACTTTACGTGAATTTGTTGTAATTAAATTGTATCTCAATAAGGTTGTAAAAAAAATCACATTAATAAATGACTCATTTCTTTCTCCAATAAGGATTTTTAGTGATACATGGCTTAAGAATTTTTTTTTTGTTCCTAGAAAACTTATTTCTAAAAATATATTCAATGACCATTATCTCAAATACCATTCTATTATCCTTAATACCTATGTTCTTCAACAACAGCTAACTAGCACAGGGTCCGAACATTTACGGTAGATGCTAGGTGAAATTTTAAACAAGAATTTAAAATATATTTTCCAGTCCTGGAACATACTTTTTTTTTTTTTTTTTTTTTTGAGACGGAGTTTCACTCTTTACCCAGGCTGGAGTGCAATGGCGCGATCTCGGCTCACCGCAACCTCTGCCTCCTGGGTTCAGGCAATTCTCCTGCCTCAGCCTCCTGAGTAGCTGGGATTACAGGCACGCGCCACCATGCCCAGCTAATGTTTTGTATTTTTAGTAGAGACGGGGTTTCACCGTGGTGACCAGGATGGTCTCGATCTCTTGACCTCGTGATCCACCCGCCTCGGCCTC